AGAAGAGGCTGTCAGATCCCCTGGAACTGGAGTTACTGACAGTTGTTAGCTGCCATGTGGGTGCTGGGATTCGAACCCGGGTCTTCTGCAAGAACAGTCAGTGTTCTTGACTGCTGAGCCATCTCTCCAGCCAGACACGGGGTCTCTTGAACTCACTGTCTCTGGTCTAGACTGGTGGCCACCAAGCCCAGCAACCCTCCTTTCTCTGCTCCCCCAGCACTGGGATTGCAGGTGTGTGTGGCCATACCTGACTCTTCACGAGCGTGTTGGGGATCTGAACTTAGGTCCTCATGCTTGCTTAGCAAGTGCTCTTACCCACTGAGCCTTCTAGCCAGCCCTAGATACAGGTTTTTAAACCAGCTCAATGCAGACAGTGACATAGGAAGACTTGACACCCCCTGTGTGCACCGACTTCATGTGCAGTATGTTCTTGACTTCCAGGAACTTCCCCAAAGCGTGTGATCTGTGGGAGCAGATCCTGCAGGACCACCCAACAGACATGTTGGCCCTGAGGTTAGCCCATGATGCCTACTTTTACCTGGGCTACCAGGAGCAGATGCGGGATTCTGTGGCTCGAGTTTACCCCTTTTGGAAACCTGACATCCCCCTTAGCAGGTATGTGCCAGCAGGAAACCATATTGTTCTGTTCCTTGCACTCCCTCTTCTGCCTTAAAAACAGAGCAACTCTCTTGGCCCCTCATCTGAAAACTATAGACTCTGCAGCTCATCTCCTAGTTCTCTCCTAATTAAGAGGCTTCTTTTTTCATTTGATCTTCATCTCATTCTGTGAGCAAGACAGTGCCATTGTGTGTCAGTCAGAACAAGATTTGTTTCTGTTGCAGTAACAAGCATCCCCGTTTATAATCCCTGAGCTTAATAGCCATACTCTGTGTCCATCTTTAGTCTTTTAAGATAGGGTCTAACTCTGTACTCCAGGTTGGCCTCAGATTCATGGCAATTCTCCTGCCGTAGCCTCCTCAGGGTTGGGATTACAGGTGTGAGTCCCTACAGCTGCACAGTACCAAGAGTTCTGTGGCCACATCTCTGCTCTCCTCGGGGTCCCTCTGGACATGCCAGTCATACAAGGGAAAGACATGCTCTTCAGAGGGTTTGAAATGACCATTCGGAATGAAGGGGGCTCCCCGCACTCCAGGCATTGGCCAGAATTAGTCATGTGACCTGACATGCTCACCGGACAGTGGGAAGTAGAACTGTCACTCAGAGCCAAGGGAGGCCTGGAGTGTTCCTGAACAGTCCCAGTGGACACCACCATGATGAGTCCATTGCAGCTAATCACAGGATCGTTGTGAGGCCAAACACACGCACAGTCTGAGGAGCTGCATTAGCCTCCATTCTGCAGGGAAGCCACTGGGATCTTTAATTTTTTTTTTTTAACTTATTTTCCCTTTATGTGTCTCAGTGTTTGGCTACATGTATCTAAGTGCACCTGTGCATGCAATGCCCATGGAGACCAGAAGAGGGCATCAAATCCCCTGGACTGGGAGTCATAGGCAGTTGTTAGCTGCCTATAACCTGTGTTCTCTGCAAAGCAGCCAGTGTTCTTAACCACTGAGCCATCTCTCCACTGCCACCACTAGGGTTTTTTTTTTTTTTTTTTTTGGTCTTTTTGAGACAGAATCTCCCTGTAGCACCTGTGGACCTGGAATTCAATATGTAGACCAGGGTGGTCTTGAACACAGAGATCTGCCAGCCTCTGCCTCCCAAGTGCTGGGATTAAAGGTGTCTGCCACCACAACCAGCTTCACCACTAGGATCTTAAACTCTATCTTTGTTGCTTTTTATCATTGTTTTTTGTTTGTTTGTTTTGTTTTTGCTACAGTAACAACATCCCGCACTACATCTTAATCTTCAAAGAGAAAGACAGTTTTTTAAACATTTTCTTTCTTTTTATTTTATTTGTTCTAGTGTTTTGCTGGATAATATATAAATACACACCCAGAAGAGGGCATCAGATCTCCTGGAACTGGAGTTAAGGACAGGTGTGAGCTGTTATGTGGGGTGCTGGGAACCAAACCTGGGTCCTCTGCAAGAGCATCAAATGCATTTAACCATGGAGTCATCTCTCCAGCCTTGTTTTAAGGAACTAGCTTAGGTAGCACCTGGCATATTCAAATCTATGGGGCAGGCTGGAAATTCCTGTAGTTGGCAATGTATTCTTTGTCCCTAAGGCAGCCTGGAGGTAGAGTGCCTCCCCATCCCACCCTCAGTCCTTTCTCTATAGTTTTTACTTGATTGAATGAGGCCCACCTGCATTATAAAGGATCCCATTTGACCCAAAATCTACTGATTTAAAAGTTAACTACAGACCCTGTGTGATGGCACATGCCTTTAATCCCAGCACTCAGGAAGCAGAGGCAGGTGGATCTCTGTGAGTTGGAGGGCAGCCTGGGCTACATAGTGAGACCCTGTCTCAGAAACCAAAAAGGTTGATCAGGGCTCTGTGCCTCCTGCCCACCCTCATTTGTAACCCTAGCACTGAGGCCCAGGGAGTTCATGGGTGACAGTCTCTTTGCTGTGGCTCTCTGGGATCGAGTGAAAACAAGATGGAACATATGTGTTGTCTGACACTCAGATGTCACCTATACTGTCCAGCACAGGGGCAAATGGCAGTTTTTATTCTAGAGAAGTGGTGTCCAGATGGGACTGATAAAAATATTTACTGGAGAGATGGCTCAGTGGTTAAGAGCATTGGCTGCTTTTGAAGACATCCCCAGTTCAGTTTCCAGCACCCTCATGGTAGCTAACAACCATCTGCAACTCCAGTTCCAGGGGATCTGATGCCCTCTTCTGACTTCCATGGGCATTGCACTACATAATGCAGGCAATACACTCATGCAAATAAAATTAAAAATAATAACAGATGGTTCCCTACTGGGAGTAAGGTATTCTCAATGCCTCATGATAGCTGAATTCATCATCAACATGACTGAACCACGGTACCCAGACATGTAGTCAGATGCTGTTCTGGGTGTCACTACAAAGGATCTGGTTTAGATCATCTGGGGCCCCAGGATGGCCAGTGGATATTTCCAGGCTGAGTAGAGAGCGGTGTATAGTGCATCAGAGGCCTGGAGGTGTGGAAACCACCTACAGTCTGAGTCTTCCCAGGGAGGGTCCCCTGGGCTGTGTTGTCCTCAGGGTTGAGACCTTGCATTGATGTGTGAGGATGTGAGGAGGGGACCAGCTAAGTGGGCTGAGCAGGTTTGGGGGACAGTTGTGTTCATGAGTGCCGCTTTGTTCAACCAGTACAGGCCTGCAATGGGTTAAACACTCAGAGACACACATCAGTGCTGCCACCTGCTGGAGGTTCACGACAAAGCCGATTACTTGAGTACTGAAGGTCTGACTTGGAATTCCTGTGTCAGCAAGACCTGTTTCTTCTGTGGGGTCCACAAGACCCTCTCTGGCTTCTTCTAGTGCTGTCGGTGCCTGACATCCTGTGGGCATCCTGGAATCTGTGCCTTTACTTGGTCTCTCCCAGAACCTCTGCATCTCTATCTCTATGAGATATTCTTACCAGTTGGACAGTAGCCATGAGATTACAGTTAAAAATAAAACCTAAGGTCCAAGGACCCCATCAAGCCTGCACAAAGAGCTCGGGGACAAAGAGAGAATAGCCAGGCCAGGCAGCTTTTACTTTTGATAAAGGGTGCATTGAGTAGTCAGTAAGACCCAGCAAGCACACAGGTCCCAGAAGCTTGACGGGTTTTTAGTCCCTAACCCAAGAAGGCTGTGACTTTTCCCTGTTGGCTGTGGTCCAACCTCACAGTGTTTCACAGCTGGCTAAAAGAACTGGCACAAAGGAAGGGGAAGATGGTTGGCCAAGGCGTGGGAGTGCTCCGGGCCATCAGGGATTAGGAATGTACCAGGCTTTTTGTTCTTTTGTTGTTGCTGTCCTTTTTATTATTGTTATTTTATGTGTATGAGTGCTATGTCTGCATGTATGTACGTGTACCCATGTCGTACAATGCCTGCAGATAACAGAAGAGGGTGTCAGATGTCCTAGAACTGGAGTTCTGGATGGGTGTTAGCCACCATGTGGGTTCTGGGATTCAAACCTGGTCTTCTGCAAGACCAGGGAGTGCTCTTAACTGTTGAGCCACTGCTCCAGCCCCCTCAGGGCCTTTTCTTAAAACAAAGCCCTATAGGGTGTATGAAGTTGTTTTAGAGTTTGAAAAAACCTAGTATTCAATGTTTCCTATAGTACCCACTGCATCTTCACTGGATTCCACCTGAAAAGCCCCTGTGTCCAAACACAGTCACATTCGAGCACTGGGTATTAGGACTCCAGTGGGTCCTGCTGGGGACCCATCCCACCTGCTCCCATACATCTTCCTGTGTGATGAAGTCTCTTCTCTGTTCTTAGCTATGTGAAAGGCATCTATGCTTTTGGACTGATGGAAACCAACTTCTATGACCAGGCAGAAAAGCTTGCCAAAGAAGTAAGTGGGTCTTTCTCAAAGTGTGACACCTTTTTTGGGATATGGCCTTCTGTGTGTGGCCTAGGAAAACTCCACTTCCCAGAGTGTCCTCACAGACTTGGGGGAGGCTGGTGTTCGGGAAGGAGGCATGGCCTCTGCCTGTCTGTCACTCTTCTAAGACTCCCAAAGTCCCCAGAGCAGTTTCCTGGACATACGAGAGTTCCACATCTGTAGATGAGGACAGGGAGGCTCAAGGAGGCGGTGGCTGCCTCACTCACAGGGCTGTCCAGAGCAGTCACTTTGGGCTTCAGAGTCACATGGCCCAGCAGGACAGGAGCACTGCAGGTACAATGCAAACTTGGACTCTTCCTCTTCACCCTTTACATATCCACTCATCTCTAATGGCACCAGAGGCTGGAGGTGGGTAGTGATTCCACACAAAGGCCTGATTCAGATCTGACCTGGCTTTGCTCTTCCTCTCTGGGTGAAGGGGTCTTTGTCATGCCAATAGTTCCTTCCTTGGCTACCACCCCTCACTCAGGTGGCATACCATTGGGAGGGGTGAGTCACTGAGATCCCTGCTAGAATCTTCCCTCCAACCTCAGGCCCTGAGTTCTGTGTTCTGCTGGGAGGTGGTGGCTGACAAGGAGCTTGGTTGATACTCCTGTGTGCCTGGACCCAGGCTCAAGTGACAGGCCCGGGTGCAAGGTGGCACAGGCTGTAGGAGCCCCTCTCTGCCACTCCTGTTCTTGTAAGGGTAGAAACAATGTGCGAGGAGGTGCCGTTCCCAGGCACAGAGCCGTTCCCAGGCACAGAGGCTGACATCTGCTCCTTATCCAGTCTCACAACTGGTGCTTTATGTGTGCCTGCTCCTGTCCATGCTCTCTGCCCATGCGATCAAACACCTTGGGGCTGCAGTGCAGAGAGAGGATAGACAGTGCCTTCCCAGGGCCACCTAGGTCAGAAGTGGTAGGGGTCAGATTCTCACCCAGGCCTCCAGACCAGGATGGCTAGAATTTAAGTCTAGGCAGACTATTAGTCCCCGGTTTGCCTGCCTTCCTGCTGTGGCTGACCCTCCCCCAAGCATGTTCCAGTTGGACTGAAGCTTCCATCTGTAGGACAGTATGCTCTGGGGTATCTGAAGATTGCCTGAATCAGAATCAGCCCAGATTTGGCGGTCAGGTGATGAGTTCCTTGCTTTAGCTCCGAGTTAGGCCTGAGGGCTATGGGTAGATTCTTGATATCTTGTCTAGGGGAAAACCACAGGGAGGTCCACTGCTTTGGGGGCTGTTTCCTTGGGTACCTGGGGTCAGGCAGGACAGTTGAAGGAACTCTAGGTGGGGTTATGGCAAGCTGACCCAAAGATGGCCAAGGACACAGTTTCAGTCCTCACGTGGAGCCAGAAGTAGCAGAATAGCTCCCCCATTTTTCTTTCCCGCCCCTTGCTCCTGTTCTCCTGGTACGACAGGCCACACACTGACCCTAGTCCCAGGACCCACAGACAGTTGTGAGGCATGAAGGACATAGCAGTGTCCCCTAGGGTTCTAGAAGATGAGGGTGGGCACCACCAGGTTCTGTCCTCACTGGGTAGTAGGGAGCCCAGCAGGTCTGCCCCTGGCTCCAGGGGAAGGCAGAGAGTTGGAGCTTCCCAGGGAACCTTGGGAGGGCTCCAGGTGAGGGAGGAGACTGTTCAGCCCTGCAGACAGCAAGAAGAAGTTGAGTGACCCTCACTCACCTGCCCTGTGTGAAAGCACCTTGCTAGCCAGACTCCTTAATGGGGCCCGCGTGCCCAGCCTGCTCAGGTATCCTGGAACTCAACGCCTCTAGCCCAGGGCCCTGAAGACATCCTTTCTGACCTCTTCGTTCCCGTGTGGACTGGACAGGGCTGTGCCAGGCTAGGGTAGAGGCTCTTCACACTTTGGGACATCCATGAAAGGTGACCTGGATTAGCAGGTCTATGGGATCCATGATTTGGCATGAAGGTCTGAGCATAGACAAGTCCAGGGGACTGCTCCATGCCAGCACTTAGTAGCTTTCAGTAAACACTGAACAGGTAATGGAACAAGGAGGTGAAGGCCGTCCCATGTATCCTGCCTGCTTCACTGTGGGTTCAGGGCTCTTGGGGCTATTGTTATTAACATCAATGTTGTCTGACCCAGACACGTGGCTGCTCCTAACCCAGAAAGCCACCTTTATAGCCACCGTCTGAGAATTAGTAGGAGGGGCAGCCACATGTCTTGATCCATAGAACACATGACACTCTGCACTGCCCTCATAGCTCTGAAAGGAAGGCAGCTTCATGGCCACTATGGGGAAACTGAGGCACAGAGATGCTGGCTGGAATACTGCAGGAGACTCAGGTATACCCAGCACGTTACAGGGGCCACAGCTGAAGCCTGGCTTTGAAAGCAAGTCCTGGTCTCCTTGAGCCTCCATTTCCTTATCTGTGAGGTGGGCCTCCACAGCAGCCTGCTGTGGTGGGCATGACACACACTGGCCCTAGGCATGTAGGAAATGAGGTGGGTGTGGGATTAGATCCCAGTCCCTGCCCTTGCTCTTGCCTGGCCCAGGCAGCTTGACTAATCCCCTTTTCTCCTTCCTCCCCTCCACCTCCCCACGCAGGCTTTATCTGTTCAGCCTACGGACGCGTGGTCAGTACACACCATTGCTCACGTGCACGAGATGAGAGCAGAGGTCAAGGACGGACTGGAGTTCATGCAGCGCTCCGAAGCCCAGTGGAAGGTGTGAGTCCTGTGGGTGGCCGTGTGCTAGACAGTCCAGGCTGAACCTGGAGTTCTGCTGAAGCCTAGGGAAGGGACTTGCAGGTGTGGCTTAGTTCTCCAGGGGCTGCAGGCAACTCGGAAACACACAGCCTCCCCCGGGAGCCCCCCGGCACCCAGCACGTGCCAGTGTTTTCCCTGTGATTGTAGAACTGAGGTCGGCCTGAGGAATTTGACTGTGAAAGGAATGGATCCAAAGATTGCTGGGGAAGTAGAGGCCTGTGGGCATGATCAAGGTCCTGAGCTGATTGGGACCATGGAGTAGCCTCAGGGAGAGAAGGAGGAGGATGGGGTGACGCTCACTGTCTTTAGAGCTGGCACATGGGGGTCAGGGCTGACCAGACCCCAAGGGCCTGGCCAGCCCTTTTCCATGGCCTGAGCACTCTGGCCACACTGTCTGTGTTCCCTGATCACAACTTGATGCATGCCCGATACTGAGAGGCTGGTGCCCTCCTTGGGGCTGTCCCCTCCCTGCCCTCTAGCTGTGGTGGCCTTCCTCCTCCACATGTGCATGTTTTTCCTGACTTGCCTCTGGCCCACGGCCTGGTCAGTCTCCAGGATTACTTTCTGCCCCACTTGTCTGTGCCACAGCAGACTCCCAGGGTACCACCAGTTAGGGCAGCAAGCTCTTCTCGGGGCCTGGCACTGAGAAGTTGATATGCAGTGTCGTTAGAGACTAGGCAGGGTGCACTGATCACCAGGAGCCCTCTAGGCAGCTCCCAGGACAAGGACTGTTGATTTGCAACCAGGCCAGTTCCCAGCAAATCCAGGCATGGACCTAGGCTAAGGTTCGGCGTAGGAAGGTTTGAGAACATGCATCTTTCTAAGGATGCCCCAACTCTGGGGACTGGAAAATTCTAGACGGTACCAGGGACCTGAGGCCAGAGAGGCCACCCTTCCCTCGGGATCCTAAGCACTGAGTCTGGTGGGGAGCACTAGCTTGTGTAGCCTCCCACTGAGGGGCAGGGAGCTGGCCTGACTTCCCTCATTGCATTCCATCCACATTCCTCCCTCAGACCTCTGGAGTGTGCATGCGTGTGTGTACACATGTGTGCATGCATGTGTGCACGTATGTGTGCATGTGGAAGCCAGAGGTACACTTTGGTGCAACTACATAGATGCCATTCATCTTGTTTTTTAAAAAAAATATTTTAATTTAATTATTTTTATTTAATCTTATGGGCATGAGTGTATTGCCTGCATGCATGTAAGTGCACCTGTATCATGCAATGCCTTTGGAGGTCCGAAGAGGGTATCAGATCCCCTGTAACCCGACTTACAGATAATGGCCTTTAGACACCATGTGGGTACTAGAAACCAAACCTGGGTCCTCTGTAAGAGCCGCCAGTGCTCTTACAGCTTAGCCATCACTCTAGCCCATCTGTTTCTTCAGATGGTCTTTCACTGGGACGTGGCGCTCGCTGATTAGGCAAGTCTGTCCAGGGAATCCGAGGGTCCACCTGTCTCTGCCTCCCCAGCACGGAGATCACAGCAATGCACGTCCAGCTTTCACCTGGTGCTTAGGGTTAAACTCAGGTCTTCATACTTGCACAGCAAACACTTTACCACTGAGCCATCTCCCCAGCCCAAGCGTGAACTTCTGATTCTGCTGCCTCCACCTCCCCAGTGCTGGGATCACATCATGCTCCAGCACACCCAGTTTATGCTGTGTTGGGGACGGAACCAGGGGGTTCTTGCACAGTACCAACCAAACTGTATGACAGCCAAAGTGTTGGCTCC